CGACCGCGCGAGGACGACCGCTGGAGAAAAGAACCTAGCTGCCCCAATACACAACACGCAACCCGTAGCGTGTTGACACGGAGCTCAACACGTAAATTGGAAAGGCGCGATACGTCCATGAAAGCATGGGCCAACACGTTGAGCCAACAAGCAGCGTGTGAACACGGACGTTTTGAACACTGTACGTGTTGCGTTTCAGAACGAGCGGATCAGGGCAGCTACCCCGGGGCGAAGGCGGCCGCGGCGAAGACGGCCGCAGGAGAAGAGGACCTGCCCCGGCTCGAGGCCCCCTGCGGGTGACCCAACCCGGCGATGCGGTCCTCGCTGCCCTGATCGGCCGACAGGGTCCTCCTGCTGCTCCTGCGCGCGCCAACGCCGCTGTCGTCCAGGTCGCGCACCTGAGGGGGCGCCCATCAGAGACGTGTGGAGCCCACGGGTCTCCCACCGCCCTCGGCCTCCGGGCCCGACCACGGGCTCGGGAGGGGCCCGGCCAGGACCGGCGGGGTGCAGGAGTGGACTGGCGCCCGCCGAGCACCATGGCCATGGTCTCCTCGTCCTCGTCCTCAGGGGAACGGCCGAGGACAAGGAGGAGGAGGAGGAGGAGGAGGAGGAAGGAGGAGGAGGAAGGAGGAGGAAGGAGGAGGAGGAGGAGGAGGAGGAGGAGCGCCCAAACAGTCAGGCAGAGACATCAACTTTCGCAGGTCCGCGCGGATGGTCTGGGTCGGCGCTGGACCTCTCCGTCCTTCCCTGGCGCGCCCAGCGCGCCAGGGGGCGCGCGGGACGCGCCGGCAGCGCTCCAGCGTCGACCCATGATGGGCTTGTTTTCCATCACCACCACCACATAAGTTGGAGGGGGGAAGGAGGTGGATGCTGAGGAGGAGGAAGAAAAAGAGGGGAAGGAGGACCCCCGCCCCTCCAACTGATGGTGGTGGTGGAAAACAGGCCCATCAGCCTAAGAAATCCGCGCGGGCCTCCGAAGATCGCACAGCTCTCTGGGAGTACCGAGGGTTCGTGTCGTGTCCACCCCGGCCGCGAGGATCGCTCAACATCGACCGAAACGTGTGGAGAGGGAGGAGCAGGGAAGGTGGGAGCGAGGGAGAGAGGGAGGAGGGGAGACACGGCCGTCTCACCCTTGACGGGTGACACGACACGTGTGGATCGACATGGACGGGCCGTTTCCGAAACGTCAGATCGTTCAACAGCGACCGATTCTGGGTCGCCTGCGGCGTTCAACGTTGGGCGCTGGCGGCGGGGTCGCCACCGGTCGACACGACGCGAACCCACCGAGAGTGGCTTAGCAGGTTATCTCGTCCAACCCCCTTGTTTCCCTCGGGGAGGGGTGCACCACTGCTACTTACTTGTGGGCACCCCCTCCCCTGCTCGACTGACCGTCGACCAGGAACAGGCCGGGCACCCGCCCACTGTCCTGTCGAAACAATGAACAGCGCACGTGGCGACAAAATCTAGATCATGAGCGGGCTCCCCGCAGGCAGTTTGCATTGTCTCTTGAGACGGGTGGCTGGGGTAGGATCTTATTTGTCCACTGTGCGCTGGCCCACCGTCCTTATGGAAACAGTTCAAAGTGATAGTGGGCGCACACACCAGACACCATGTTGACCACCCCGCCGCCCGCAATCTTGCTGTGTTTTTTTGACGGGGATGGTAGGGGTGTCGACATATTGCCCGATGTGTGCTGAGTCACGTGCGCTGGCGCAGCTGGCGCATCCTGCGGGCGTCGCGCACCTGGCGCGGCTGGAGCATGAGGGCATCAAGACGGCCCAAGAGGGCTCCTGTAAGGTCGAAGATGGCTCCAAAAACGCCCAACGAATGGCCCCAGGGGGGAAATTGGAACTGGTGGCCTTGGAGGCTTTTTCCCCCTATTTGCCCCCAAGACCCTCACCATGCCTTCAAAAAGCCCGCAAGAAGCTCCCAAGATGCAGCAGGAGGCCCCTCAAAGGCCTCCAAGGGGACCCCGAGAGACATCCCAAGAGAGCCCAAGAGGCATCCAAAAGGCCTCTGGTCCATACCCAGGCACGGTGGCGAGATAGGCCGAATACCACGACACACACACACACACACACATACATACACACACATATACAGATACGCATACACATACACATACATATACATATACATATGCGTTTACAAATACATAACCAAATGCATAAACCTATTCATAAACGTGTACATAGACATATACGTACACAAATACATATGCATATGCATATGCATATACATATACATGCACCTATACGCATACGCATACACATACATATACATATACCTACACGTATACAGTTACATATGCACATCCGTAGAGAGAGATACATTTACCCATTCGTACACCTACACATATACATTTACATCTACATATACATGTACATCTACGTATACATATACATAGACATCGCCATATGCCTAAGCACATACATATACAAAACCATAAACATGCATATACACATAAACATATAGACTATACACATGCAAATGCATATGTCTGACCATATACATATGCATACATACGTACAAACATGCATGCATACAAACATGCATGCATGCATGCATACATGTATACTTCGATATACACATGCGCACATGTGTCTACAAACGTTGTCACTACATACACACACATATATATATGTGTGTATGTGTGAAAATAGATGTACAATTCTACACGCGTGTGTGTTCATGATTCGTGATTGTGAGTATGTGTGTTTGCACTTGCGTGTATGTCTGTGCTTGTGTTCGTTGTTGTGTGTTTGTGTTTGTGTGCTGCGTGTGTGTGTTAGTAGTTGTGTGTGTGTTTGCGTTTGTGTGTGAGTGTGCTTGTGTTTGTGTGTGTGCTTGTGTTTGTGCTCGTGTTCGTGTTACCGCCCGAGTCATGCAAGATCGCCCCAAGACTGGACAAACAAACGTCAAGACGGCCCAAGAGCGCCCCAATGCAGCCCAACAGGCCCCAAAGGGGCCCAAAGAAACCTCCAGACGGCCCAAGATGGCCCCCAAACAATGCCAACCACACTCCAAATCGGGGCCCAGGCGTTGAGGGAAGCCGCGAAGGGCAGCACAATGGTTTCAAGAAGCCCCCAGAGGCCCCCAAAACACGTCGAGGAGGCCCCCAGAGGCCCCCAACAAGCCCCAGGAAGCCTTTCTTTGGGGGGGCCCACGAATCCCGCCAAGGAAAAGCCTCCACAAAACATCAGGACGGGTCCGCGCAAATGAGCAGGAGAAAGAGGAAGAAAGGGATACAGAGGATATGAAAAATAAAGACGGCGCGACAACGGAGGCAAGAACATATGATACGCTCCCTCTCTCTTCGTTCCCTCTCCCTGTCTCTCTCGCGCTTTCTGTCTTCCGTTATGCCTGTGCGAAAGTAAAGACAAATGTCTATGTCACGAAGCACCACTGCAATCTTATATATACATATATATATATATATATATATGTACACGTATATGTATATATACACACATATATATATATATATGCATTTACTTACATATACATTTGCCCATACACATACGTATATACATAGATTCACATATATACATGTACAGTTACATCTACACAGACGCTTACGTATACATATTCACATAAATGATCATGCACGATTCTATACAACGTACGCCTACATATATAGGCATGACCATAAACAAATACATACATCGCCATATACATATGAATATGTAAATACATTGGCATGTGCAGATAAATATGCATATACATATACACACACATACATTTACACAGACATGTACGCATACATATATATGTATGTACAGTACTGTACATATGTATACAATTACATCGGCCTACGCATGTACACATACCTGTATGACGATATAAATATATACATATACCCATACCCATAATATGAAAATGAGTCCGCGTATATATGTATACACATACATATATGTATACAAATACATATACGTATATATGCATATGCACATACATCGACATATACATATACATATACACGGTCATCATATACATAAATTTACACTTACACATATGCATAGACATAGGCATGTACGTTTGCTTACACACATATAAGTACGTACACATAATATACATGAACATATAAGTATACACTTCATATATATATATATATATATACACATGCATTCAAACTAAATATAACTACACACGTATGTACTAGAACCACTCTATACAACATATAAACTGAAGGCACGCGCGGGCTTCGCGAGCGCTTAGGCTCTAGCCCAGCCCATGGCGCTTAGACGCCACGGAAGTTGGGGTTCGCGGGCGACCCGCTGTGGGAGAAGGGTTGCAACCGTCTTGGGCCAGTTATGGAATATCGCAGGGCTCCCTTGGACTTGATTTAGTGCTGTTTGGGCGCTATCTTGGGAAGGGGCAGGTGTCTTTGGCCCCAATGGCGCCATCCAAGGTTGCCAGATCGTTCTCGACACCCAAGTCTTGGCTTACGGCTTCGTCGGGGAGATCGCTGAACAGCCTAGGGGGAAATGTCGAGGCCGTAGTTTGCGGGTCTTTGGATGTCGTCGCATTTTCTTGGCCTGCCTGGCCGAGCACGCGTGGGAGGGGCGAGGAATGACGGAGGACGGGACAAAAACTTCTTTGAAATAGAATGCACGCGCTGCCACGCCAGCTGGCGGAGCACGTGCAGAAGGAACGAAGAATGCCAGAGGAAGCGCAGGGCAAAGTGCCTTGATACATAATGCACGCGCTGTCACGCCGGGTGGCGAGCATTTGCAGGAAGATCGAGAAAAGACGGAGGAGGGAGGGAACGCAGCCTTGATATTGAGTGCATGCGCTGTCACGCCCGCTGGCGCAGCACGAACAGAAACCCCTCCTGGTCGCACCGGCAGGGCCCTTCGGCATTCTTTGAGCCCCCTGGACGGACGCATTCTGGAGATGCGGTTTTGGACATCTTTGGGTGCCATTTTGAAACCCTCTTGGGGGCTTGCATGGTCATCTTGAGAGTCTCGTGGGGCCGTGTTGGGGCCAATTTGGGGGACCCTTGGGCTGTCTGTCTTCGGGCCCTCTTAGGGTCGTTTTGGGCCCATCTTGTGCCGTCTTGGAGCCGTCTTGGGCGGTCGGAAACCAGAAAGAGCGACAAGACACACATTCTTCGAACACCTCAAGCACATCAATGTGTTTGGCATCATCAGAACCTCTTTGGAGCGCGCTGGGGGCTCTCCTGGGGTGTCCTGGGGACCTCTTGAGTCGTGCTGAGGCCATCTTGATCGTTCTTGGTGCCCTCTTGGGCCGTCTTCGGATCATCTGGGTTCCTCTTAGGCGGTCTTGGGGGTATCTCAGGCTGTCTTGGAGGCCTCTTGGTGAGCCTTTTCTTATTCGGCGTTTCGGCATTGGGCGGAAGGTGGGGAGGGGCGTAGTCCTAGTTCTGGACCTTTGCTTAATGCGATTGTTTGCAGAAGTGCGGCCTAGGGGGGAGACTCCACCTGCTCGAAACAGGCGCCAAAAACAGCCAAGATCTACTCCATGGGGGGGAAGGGGATGGGTGCGAGGGCTCGTGCCAATCGGCAAAACAGCGAAAAAGAAAACGATCGCATGGGCCGT